GTTAGACATGGTTCATAGGGCAATAAAACAATAAAATTTAATTATAAATAGATGTATACAATGTTACAAACTTAAAGCTGCTTAGGATAAATGAATGTAGTTTCATGTTACAATTTGAAGTAATTCTAGAAAGAAGAAAGGTTAATTTAGGTTTATTTAGATTTTTTTTTGTGGTTACAAGGTCAGTCAATATGATCAATCCCGTTTTGAAATAGGGTAGAGAAAATAACAGAAAAACTATAAAGTTTTACTGAAAAAAAAAACGTTTGAAATGCATTTAAGAGGTTTTAGAGATTGCACAAAAGAAATTTGAGATTTTTGAGATGATGAAAAGTATTTTTAATTTTAACATGAAAATTACTTTGCATACAGACTATTCAAAACAAATACTCAATATATTCATGGACAAATCTTTATTTTATTTTATTAAAAATACTTCACTAAGAATAATGACTTTTTGTATGTGAAAGACTTGTAATATTAACTGAAAGACTGCCCAATTTCGGGAAGATATACCCAATACATTGAGAGTTACAAGTATTAATTTTATACAGACTTTAAATGAGTACAAAAAGTCATGTGACTCGGTTAAATTGACTGACCCCATGTTGAGAGGGTTAATCTAAATTATTAATTACTTAACCACATGTAAAGAAGTAATAAGACAAGTACTGTACCTTGTTTCTTGTGTCAGTTCCAAAGTCTGACTCACTTTCTGCCAATATTAGGTTCTCCCTTATCCTCTTTAAAGTGGTTCTCAACTTGTTACTTAGTGCATTTTCACTGAAGTCCTTAAAAGAAATTATGATCATTACACATTAACTTGTTTAAAACTAAATAAGAAAAAATTTTTGATATGGTCATACTGATTATAATTTATATAGAGAAATATATTCAAAAATGCAACAACTACAATTTACTGGAAACATTTATATTTTCCTAACTTCATGACATAAATTTCTGATGTTAAACTCAAATTTCCTAATTATGTTTACTTTTTGAATAACTGAAAAACTAAATCATCATTAAACAAAATTTTCAGATTCAGAAATTTAAGTTACTCAGTTACATGTAACTATACCAAACTGTTTTTAGATCCCTTGAAAATATATATATAAATAAATAAATAAACTAAAACAGAATAGGCAAAGAATCTTTCTTCTGAAATAAAAATGTTAAGTTGGATTGGTAACAACATGCCTCATTTTCCCTTTCACTCACAACACGAAGGCTGTAAAATATGGTGATGTAATAAAACCAAATGATGTCATAATACAGATCATCTGAATAAATAAATAGCAATATTCATATATACAAGACAAAGAGTAAAAGCATTTACTTACTTCAATAATCATTTACATACATATGAAAATACTATTTTCAGACAAAAAGTGTGAAAACAACTAGTATCCTGAAATATTCTGATAATAATATTTTTAAATTGTGTCAAAGAAATGCTCTCCGAGAATCAAAATAAACTGATGTTCTTAACACCAGTCATCTTAATTAGCAGCTTGTAAAAAGGGGATGTTGATCAAAAATTACTGGTGTCAGTCACAGTAAGAAAAGTTCAACACGTATCAAAGTTAGTTCATATTGGTATGAATAAGTTATAAAAGATTCTATTTAATTAAAACATAGGTAAAATAAGAGAATATAAGTTAACATGTATATTAAAAAAATGAGAGAAAAAAATGCTTGTAACAAGTCCACTTATTTATTCTGTGTGTTTTCATGAAACACTTTCATTCTTTTGTAATAAGAACCAAAAAAAAAAATTAACCCTACCTGACATTTTTCTTTATAAATTTGCTAATTATAAAGTTATTAGTGTTCCTGGCTGTGAAATACAAAGTAATAATACTTTAACTGAAAACAGTTAAAATTACTTTCAACTATCCTCTACTGTTGTACTTTAACCAATTATCAATTGATTAACACTCACATTACTACACTATTATTAATCACATATACTGTTTCACTTTCAAATATAAAATATTTCCCAAGTCCCAAATACCTAACCTTATCTAAATCTTTATATTTCATGCGGTTAAATTAAAAGCCAAAAAAAAATCCACTTACCATTTCCCTGTAAAAGAAGGTGTAAACCTAAAAAAATGGAGGAAATAATGATGTGAAGCAGCAGACATGTTAGTACTTTTTAGTTATTTATATCTGGTTGGTACAAGCTATTTGGTTAATTTGTGAAAGATCTAAGCATTTGAAATGATTACTTCAAATAATCAGATGTAAAAACTGCAAATAAAACAAATACATGCACAGCATCCTTTATGTCTGTTTTATTTTTAAGCACAAAGCTACATAATAGCCTATCCCGAACTTTAGCATTACAAGACTTCAAGTTTTCCAGTCACTCACCAAGGGGGTACTCTTAATCAAATTATGTTCAATACATGGGTAAATATACTACCTTCCAAGGTAAATGTCATTAGCTTGTATGTACAAATATAAACCATCTGAAAATCAAAAACTGTGCATTTTATCCAAAATTTTCAATGCAAGCAATTTCAGCACAAATAGTAGTTTGTTATCCTAAAATGAGGCATTTAACTTCATCTAATGCACATATATTTTTAATCTTTAATTTTGCTATTAAAAAACAAGGAGCACTTACATTGCTGACAATACAAGGTGTAAAGAAATTGTATTTAGACCTCAAAAAAGGTATCCTTTATGCAAATATTAGAGTTTCAACAAAACATATACATTTAGTAATCTCAGTCTAATGAAAAAAGAAATTATTTATAAAGCTTTAAAAATGTTACAGTATTTTAATTTAATCCTTGCTTTACTCTCTTTTGCCAAATGCTGCTCATGAGGCAGTGTAACAAGGTAATTACTGTAAGCAATAGCATATCACAAGTGTATTTTCCTGTCATATTTTTAATGTTTCTTTTTAATTGTGTATTCAATGTTTATAAGTTAGCACATAAGTGCAATGTGTTAATTTTACAAAGCAATGTTTGTTGTGTACCTTTATAACCCAGCACATGAATTGAATATTACATTTTTAAGTCAGCATGTAAATTCAATATGCCCATTTACAAATCTGTAGGCAAATTATAACCTATATATAAACTTGAAATGTGCATATAAATTTGTGTACATCTATAAATTAGTATGTAATATTAATGTGTATCTTTGTAAATCACCTGTTGGTTATTGGTGTACATGTCTGTAAATCTACATGTGTATTTAAATATGCAGGTATAACAATTATCATGAAAACTTACTGTAATGTTGCAAACTATAATAGAGTGGAAATCAGCTTTAATGAATATTAATACAATACATAAGAATGTTTATGTGAATTAGTTTTTCAAAAATATTTGTGAAGAAGTTATTACTTTTCATAAATAACTACAAAAAAATAATAATGAGTTTTCATTGATTTCCCTATTAAACGTGAAGCTAAAAAAATCATTACTTGCAAACTGTTGGTATACAAAAATTAAAACTGACAGCTTCTTAGTACCAAAAACGAAATTATTGAATCAACAAGCTAAAAATGTATTTTTATTTATGGCAATGCTACTATGGCTATCTGCTTCCATCCATAAATGTGAACTAGTTACTGGCCAGAGGGAAAGCAGCCAGTCAGCAGCATCCTACCACCCACCATCCATGATAAGGATTTGACTGTCACTCTCATAATAAAAACCTAGGTCAAAGAACAGGAAATATTTTGTAGTATCGCTTCAATTTGAACCTGATATGTCAGTTTCAAAATCCAGAGCTGTATCACAGGGTCAATATTTGCCTAAAACTGAAATTAAAACCCATTATTTTTTGTACCTGTGATAGTGGTTGTTGAAAAATATACAAAATTTAAAATCACATCAATACTTACAGAAAACATGTAGTAGTCAAAGAGCTGTGACATGCAAATCAGAACATCAAAGGCTATGGGTTTTAACAAGTTCATCATCTGCATATACTTGCCTGTAATGAGACACGCATGGAAGATCTACTTTTAATAATAACTATGAAACTTATTTAAAAGAAAATTGGTAAATTAAGAAGTTTTCATTATTCATACTATAAACTGTGATGAAGAATAATTTTTACACTTTGTTTCATTCTGGGAATATTTAATTACAATCAGAATGAAAACATTCTTGTAAACAAAATTTAAGCAAAATCAGGCAATGCAGCATAAACATGTTTAATGAAAAGAAACAGTCAGTATCCAGTGAAAATAACTTATTTCCTAACAGCTTTATCAAGAGATAGACATCTTAGTGAACACAAGCTTAGTGAGGGAATCTGGTTTGTCTATATACATATGATAGAAAAGTCTGGGTGTTCACTTAAATCACATTTAGTGAGCACAACATATAACTCCTCAATCACTGCCAGAAAAACAATTGTATTGCATGCAATATATAACTTCTGAATAAATGTATGGAGAAAGATGTAGTTTACGGTATCTCTTGTAACATTTGTAATGAAAAAAACATATTGGTGAAACTGAGACCTATAAAAAAACATTGGATGGAGCATTGTCAAGCTACAATGATGGGAAAGGTTGATAACAGTTTGGTTGCAGTATATCTTCTTAATGAGCACAGACTGCCTGGACCTGATCACCCTTTCACAACTAAAAACAAAAGAAAGCCATGGTTTCCTGGACAGAAAGTACAAGGAATCCCTTATCATCAGATCTGAGAAGACTTCAATTAATGGGGACAAAGAGTTGTCCCTTTAAATGGAGAATATATGTATGTGAATATCGATGCTTTAATACTTTTTGATAAATTTCTTTTTTGAAAAGTGAATACATGTGGTTATAATTAGATTCATAGTTTATCGCTACATATTTATTTGATGTAGATGTTCACGTGACTCATCTTTTTGTTTTCACTTTTAAATGAATATTTTTTAAACTGTGTTTATATTCTTGTCATATAGTTATTATCGTTGCATTTTCATTCTTGATAACATGGTTGCATGTCAGATGATACAAAGGAACAAGCTGTTTTTATTTTAAATTACAATAGTAGCTATTTGTTCTGTTAAGACTGGGCTTGTGTTCAGTTTAAGTTTAAGAATAATGTTGAGTTATTGTTTTTAACAACCTCAAAAATCTGAAATACATGTTTTGTTTGGTACATCCTCAAAACCTGAACTTACATTAATTTTTGGCATATTTTACTGAAAAAAACAATAACACAGCATGAAAGGAAATAGAAGTGAATTATACATTTTCTTATCACAAGTGTAACAAGTCTTTTACGGTTATGACAAATAAGATGTAAAATGCGAAATGTTTACAACATGCTTATATTTTCTCAGTATGAATGTAACCCAGTAGCTTGGTGTAGTTTCATGAAATAGGAATAACCTTATAAATCAAAGTAACTGCAAATTTGGAAACAATGTCATAATTTGTCTCACATGATGTTTTGTGTAGAGATAAATAACACAGAAATAAAATAAATAAAACAAATAAAACTCCAGACTATGCATTTTTCTTGTATGTTTGTAGTTTTCTAACAAGTGACTTTACAAAACAAAAAATAATAAAAAGTCCCTTTGAACCAAACGCAAAAGTTGCAACAGATCTTTGCAGAGGTAAAACATGTTTCAGTAATTCCAAGAAACATGAAGAAACTTGCCCAATACAATAGAATACACTTCATTTTTACATGCTTTTTACGCATTATATCCTAAATCTTTAATGTTACTCATATGCTCTTGGCCAACTTATAAAAACATATAAAAGCTATCCCAAATCTGAACTATAACAAAATGAAATAAAATTCTTCAAGCACAGTTTTAAAACTAACAAACTATCTCATCTAAAAATTAAAGTTTGCATTATATCAGCAATTATATATTTTTTAAAACAATCCCTAATTTTTATGGACCTCATAGGTAATAAATGTCACATCTAAGTTTTAATTCTTGTTTTATCAAAGACATTTTAAAACAATGATAGAGATTATTTTGAATAGTGTAACAATTTTCATACAACTGTGTTAGTTTGGAGACAATGTTTTGCAGATTTTCATCATTAAATGCAAACACTTGCTTTTAACTTAAGTTATTACAGCTTACAGTTTAAAAGTATGAAACTCAAGGTGTGCATGATTTTTATGAAAAATCTGATAGTTTACATATTAAGCAAGAATCTTACCAAATAATCGCAATACATTTAATGTGGTATTCGTCAGGATAAGAATCTGTCTCCTTCTAGAAGATGTGCTGGTTTTTCTTGTTGTTCGTTGTTGCCTATGACAGAAAATCTATCTATATCAGATAATACCAAAGGCATACTTTATACCAATAGAGAACAGAAATTTGCCTGTTTGTGATAGAATATTTTGAGGAATTGTGATATCAAATAATAATATTAATCAACTAATCCAAAAAATGTAATTAGGTTTCAGTAATTAATTATTGAGCAAACTATTTGACACCGAGAGAAAGCTTCATCATATGAATTATTAATATTTTTTTTAATCTTATGTCTTATAATGCAAATCTATCTTAATCAAAATTTTAGAAATTACTACCCTGCAGTTAAATTTTGTATTTTTTAGCTTTTTTATAAGATAGTTTGATGAAGTAGATATGTGAACTCAGAAGTGATTTCACATTTTTGAAACCCAATTCCACAACTAATACAGTTTGAATTCAATATTCAAAGCCATGTTTCTTTATTTGCCCCTTTTATTTACTATTTACAGCTACTTTTATGGGATTATATTTTTACTGCAATAGTTGTGTACCATTCAGAATTTGATCAATATTTGGCACAGGATATTTCTCAGTTTGTCACTGATTTTAATGGGTTTTTTAAGAACAAAGTTTTCTTTAATAGAATGTCTTTATGTTTCTTTCATTAATAACCATTAAAATTATGAGTGTTGTCTAGTAGAGTGAATGAAACCTACAAACTTTTTCAACATCCCCCATTTTTCAGCACCTAACACGGACACAGCTGAAATTTTGTATGTTACACCTCTGCTTAGTGAAACATATCAGAACAAGCATTTTCTCTGATAAATCTCTGACACAAATTACTGCAAAAAAATGATTTCATTTGTTCTCATTTTATAATGCAACTGAACACCATGTATGAAAATAATTTCTTACAAAAACAGCCATGTGTTGTCTACCTTCCTCATAACATTTGTAATTAGTAGATTTTGATCCTGGCTACAACCTGTCACTCAAAAGGATATATAAAACTGCTATGTGTTGTCCACCTTATTCATAACATTTGTGATTAATTGATTTGGATCATAGCTACAACCTCTCACTCAAAAGGATGTAATAAACTGCCATGTGTTGTCCACCTTCTTCATAACATTTGTGATTAATCAATTTGGATCTTGGCTACAACCTGTCACTCAAAAGGACATATAAAACTGCAAGGAAACATCTCAATATTTTTCCATAATGCCTCATATGAGTAATATTTTTATTCAGCCTACTGCTTATCCATTTAAAAACTCAAAAGTTCCCAAATCATCAGAATTTTAGAATGCCTCTCACTGGGCAGAAATCTATAATTTTTAAACAATTTATGCATATGATCCTACAAGTGTTATTCTATTTTATTTTCTCTCCTAGATTAATCTATCTGTCTACACAGTGGGCATGACTAACCTAAGATCAACAGTTTGCTGCCCTTCCATAGACATCAAGGAGCATTTGAAAAATATGAGATTAACTGTAATTGATTTCCAATGCTCCTTGATGTCTATGGATAAATGTGGATAATCAAGGATCGTGGATAACGGAGGTGCAGATAATTGAGGTACTAATGTAGCTCCCATTTTCTGGTACAAACAGTAGTGAAGTTAGGTTAGGCACACTTGGCTTTTGAGTTTTTGGGCTGGCTCCTAGATCTGAAAATATTTGTTGAGGCCTGGTCTAAGAGAACAGAAAGCTGGCTTAGCCATTTTAATATTAGGTATTCCTTAAGCAATTTATATACTTTTTAAAATTAAATAAAGGTTGTGCAACATACCTATTATTTGGGGTATCACCTGTTTTTTCATCAACATATTCTTTCTTCAATTCATCTGCAACATCTTCATCTTCTGAGTCAGTATCAGACAAGGGTTGCCCATCTCCTTCATCTGTCTGTAAACATGAAACAAAGAGCTAGTAACAAGGCCAAACAGCAGAATGTATAAACTAACAACAATTTGAACCAGTGATAAGGATCTAGTTAAATCAATTTAAATATAACATCTTCATATAACTAAAAATCTAATTTAAAAAATATAAAAGTACTTGTATATCTGACTATTTTAATTTTCAATCATAAAAATTTAAGACATTTATTTACAGACCACTTATTACACTTATCAAACTTTAAGGAAAAAAAAAAGGTAAACCATTCTTCAATTAATTTTTGGCTACATACTACAAGGGTTCGTATACCTATGACATAACATTCATGTCTTTGGTGTTATTTAACTTAAGTGGGGCAGCTTTTTTATTAAATACATAAATTAGTTATAAGGTCATCGCATTGCAAATGTAAAATTTCAGTTCTAAACAGATAAAACAGAAAAACTTTACTGTGCTTGGTGCAAGCACATCTTCTTTATCTTCTTCTTCAGTCTTTTCTTCAAAAGGATTCCCTTGGTATCGATATCCTTGGAAGTAGCCTTCTCGTGGCCTTCCAGAGAAGGAAGTGCTCTCAGTCTTAGAATGAGCAGGAGAGGAAGGAGGTGTTAAAATTGATCGAGAGTGATTGTGACGAAGAAAGCGAAATTCCTGAAAAGTTTAAAATTACAAATGAATCCATTTTAACTCAGTTTGCAGTCATTAGTTTGTGACATTCAAGTTTCTACTATTAATTTTATCAAATCCAGAAATAGATTAGAACTAATGAACAAATGAATCCATTTTAACTCAGTTTGCAGTCATTAGTTTGTGACATTCAAGTTTCTACTATTAATTTTATCAAATCCAGAAATAGATTAGAACTAATATAAGAAGAAACATTTTTTATTATTATTATTTTTTAATCACATGAAGCCTCTTGTGTCACGTGCAAAAAAATGTATGCCATTTTTTAATGAAGAGTTGAAAACTACTATCAGCAGCATATTTAGGTGCAGTAATAGAGTAATTTTTCCATTTAACATCAAAATGGGTTAATGAGAGTCATATTTAACATGAAATTCCTTTACCATTTCTTCAAGTAAAGTTGCACTTTTGCAAATCCATTTGATCTTCCTTACTTACACATTAATATACATAACTTTCAACTCAAGCCCCGAATACTAAATAAAACTTAACTATCTTACCTTTTCACTAACATAAAGAACTACATTTTCTATTCGAGTTATTCGGTCTACAAAATATATTTTTAAAAATCCTTTTTGAAAAGGACAAGAATTTCAACTTTGCTTTGAAGAAGAAATGCAAAAAAAGAACTATTCATAATGCACTACATTCAAAAACCTGCACAAACAACTGAAAAAGGGTGTATGATGTACAGAGATAACAATATGAACCCATTAAACAACCAGATACTATCAAAATGGTTGGGATGATAAGCATTTTGTTCTTCATTATAAGGTGAATCTACCTATTTATAAAAACTAACCTTATAATGAGTTTGACTTCATGATAAATAGAAAAATATTTATGTTTCCAAATGAATTGAGGTGTGTAAGATTGGCTTTCATCTCACAAAGAATTGATAACATTTATTCAAGATTTCTATCCATTTCCAATAAAATTTAAGTTACTTAGATGTGTTTATAGAAAACAATTACAGCTGGAGGCCTAATATTTCAGTTATATATATATATATATATATATACAC